TCGGTGGTGGTCGAAATAAGGAGGGCTGGAATCAAACCGTGGAAGTGCCACAGGGTTGGATTTTTTTGAGAGGAGACATCACTATTGCATCTGCAAGGTGGATTGCATCTGTAAATAACGTTGTGCCGGGGTAGGCGGCTTCCTCGGCTTCCTCCTTCATGCCGCGAACCGACTGCAGACCAGAACCCTTTTTGCCAAGGTGTGTTTGCGGTGAGTATCACTGATACTCGCCGACTGCATGTTTTGGAGAAGGGTAACGTTGGTGCCCGGGGACGATGCCGTTATTTGTCAGGAACTCTTTGCTAGTGGGAGGTGGTTGCTAGATCTGTGCAAAAAGGCGATTTAAAGCATCGCTGCCTTTTCACACCAGTATTTCCTTTCCTTTTCATGAATGCAAAATGTTTCCTTTAAAAATAAGTGCACTTCTCCTAATGCTCCATTATCAGGTGCTTCAAAACATATTCTTGCTTATAAATCAGCAACTCGGCAAGGCAGGGAATAGATGCTTAAAGTTGACTTTAAATATTAATGAGCTCATGTCAATGACAGAGCAAACTGTTCCAAAATGTTTCTAATAAGTTAGAGAAATGGACATGAACTCCACTTATTTTTTAATTCTTAGTTAGGATGCGTTGAGCTTGTCAGTAAAAACATGAAGATATGATTTCATTAGGCCATTTCTCCTAACTCCTTTCTTTTTTTAAAAAAAAAGTCACCAAATCACAGAAAAATGTTCTAAAGTACCTTCCAATGTAGATGTGATTAGACTTATTCAGTGCTCTGAGGTCTTGCAAACAAATGCAGCTTTCTCAGATGTCTCAGCCGTGAAGAATTTTGCAAGTAAGGAACAGTGTGGGTTCTTTCTTCATTTGAGTCAGTTTGTTTCATAGGTTCCTAAGTGAGAAACGTTGTGTTTTGTTTTGTTTTTTTTTTAATTTATTTCCTATGATAAGGAATGTGTCCAGTTTGTTCTTTCCCAAGATTGTCATTGGAGTATTTACAGTTCGCAGATCGATCACTGCCTTTGTGTAACGTCTGGAACCATCGGCTCCAAGTGGTCAGTTCTGAAAGTCTCCTTCAACAAGTATTACAAAATTAGGAGCAGTAATACAGGAGGTTTGTGATCAGAGACTTTAAAGTCAGGAAGGATCTTAAGAGCGTGGTTGTTTTGCCTGTGGCTTGTGAGGACACTGAACACTTACCAGCATAGGTGTGTGAATGATTTTTGGTCATAATCCTGTGGAATAATGGTACTTTAGGCCTCCTGAAATCTGGGGAAAAGGTGCCCATATATTTATTTAACTATATACCCACCCTCAACACTCCTGAAGTTAGAGTAATAGTATTCTTTTAAAAAGTTTGCTTCTTGTACAGCTTAATGAGGTGCTTGTAAAGCTTTTTCAAGTAAGGTATGAATGGTACTTTGATATCAATTGACCTCTGTAATAAAAAAAGTCATCTCATGGGCATACAAATTTGAGTGTTTGTTTGCTGAGGGCACGTGTTATGTAGGTCACATCAGGATTATATCTTCAGTGACAATTTTAACACAAGAGCAATAATTACTTCTGTCAACAGAGGAAAATTCAAACCAAGATAGTTGTACTGAGGTTAAAAACCCAATCGGATTAACAGAATTTAAAATTCAGTTTCTCAGTGGAACTAAATATGAACCTGATTTCAGATAAGTTTCATTGTTTGGTTTTTTTCTGATAATTGACTGAAGGATTCTCTGCATACCCCACATCAGAATGTGAGAGAAACATTAGTTTCACTGCAGTTGTACTGTAGGACTTTTGCTCATTTCAAAGAGGCCTGGGGTTTTGTTTTGTGTTCTTATGTTTAAGATCTTCAAATGTTATCTTAGAAAACAAAATCTCTAACTCTGTTGTTTGTCTGCCAAGACATTAAGGCCAGAGAAAAGCTCTCAGTTTTCTGCTGCAGATGAGAGCATTACTAAAGCAGCACAAGGAATATGCACCCCGTAGAGATCTTGGAATGCCCAGTTTATCTGAAAAAATCACCCCAAGCGTCTCAACAGCCTGCAGATCAGCTGTCCTAAAGATGAGTGAAAACCTCCCAAAATGATCTCTGTACTTCTCTGTCTCTCCAGGTTACTGCCGGAACACCAGTAAAATGTGCAGTTCCCCAGATGGCATGTGGTCAGGGAAATAACATACGTGCCAGGACTGTGAGGAAAAAAATAAAAAAAATGTTTGTATTACTCTGCTTTATGTTCAAACCACAGCGAAATCCTACGCTGGACTGAATGGCTGGTCGTGGCCAGGACTTCTCTCTCTGTAACAAACCCCATAGGTGATGGAGATGTTCGTCTCCCCATGCTCTTGTCCACCATTGGACCAAAATCCACGTACAAGAGTTTTGTAGGCTGCCTGTAAATTAAATATTGGTTTCGTCATCAGCACTTGCAAGAGAAAACGAGAGTTGAGGTCTTGCCAAATACAAGACGTCTTTCAGATCACCTTTGGAAAGTCATGCACGTGTGACGATGTGCTGCCACTGCAGTTGGCAAGGATGCCTATAGTTGAGTTTTGCTGACCCTTAAACCAAAAGATTAAACTGCATTTCAAGAGGCTCCCTGCTAATCTTTATTGTAGAGTTAAAATGTTCAGATATTGGAAGTCAGAAGAAGTGGTAACAAGACTAATTTAATCAATTTCCAAAAAACTTTTACACTGAAATCCAAGAAATTGTCAGTTGCCAGGGTGAAAAAGTTACCCTGATATTGCAGGTAAAGTGAAGGAAGCTTGAAGAATCTGTCATATTAAATATGGTAGATCTGTTCAGAAATCTTCTGCTCACAGGGAACTTAACTAATGGAAAACGAGCCTCCTGCGTAGGCACAAAATCACTCTAACCAAACCCAGGCAAGTTGTGTCAGTTTAGCAAAGTTCTGTTTTCCCATTTTCTCTCCGTGGCCTTGCCACAGAGATCAGATGATTCTCTCTCCGGTAGTGCCAGAACTGATATAAAATCCAGGCAGCTGCGAGCGTGACCCTCGTGTGATGACCATCATCTTGTACACCAGGGCTGGCAGGTGCGCTCCTCAGCCTTGACTTGAACTTGGTGAAAAAAGAAGTATCCTTTGATTCCCTTTCTTATTCTGTCCCACCTCATTACCTGAGGGATTCGTGAAACACACAGGCAAACCGAGTATTGGAAATCAAATAGCATCTTAAAACACAAATATTCAATTAATTACATGATATTACATAATATCAAATGTTTCAGTTTAAGGCAAGAATGATCATAGAAAGTGATGAAAGTCACAGAGTCATCATTGTGGAAAAAAAATCAGTCAGTTCACTGAATTGTCTTATGAATTACACTTTGCTGAGAAATGTTTAAAAATGGAGCAGATTTCAGGAGTTTTCCTTCTTCTAAGACAAAAATCATTCTTATGAAAGCAACATGGAAAACTGAATTTTGGTTCTTCCTAGAAGGACAAAGCACCTGAAATTCACTGACACAGTTATGTCTAATTCGCAGTGAAACTCTAGGTGGTTATCATTAGAAATGTATCATTTGTCATATTTTTATAACGTATTTGTTTTTATAACTTTATAGTTAGTATGACAACATCCACTTTGTATGAAAACAGTGAGTATATCACGTAGCAAGTACTGTGGTTTGTTTTTTTTCCAAAGCCAGTAGCCACTGACAGGATAGCGTACCTAGACAAGTAGAAGTCGTGGCATTCCCTGTGAATGTGAAAGGGAGGCAGGAGGGTGGGGGAAACCTGGCTGCTCTTTGATGAAACAGGGCTTCAGGACTAACCAAACACAACTTCGACCTGGAAGAGACCAGACCCACCACAGCATTCAGTCTCATTTCTGTGTTCTTAGAGTGGTCAAGTTTCGGCGCACCGGGGAAAGCGCGAGGTCGGATGAGGATGTTATTTCAGGAGAACACGAAATTCAGATTGAGGGTGTTCGGACAGAGCTAGAGCCTATCGAGCTAGAGGATGGAGCTGCAGTGCCCAAAGAGTTTGCCAACCCGACCGATGGTGAGTAGGTTTCTAGCTTTCCTGTGAGGAGGAAGGTGTGGCCGTCTCCTTTCAGGCATACTGCAGCCAGGCTGAATATATCGGGTTACAGAAGTTAAAGATCCCCACATAGAAGAAGGAAACAGTAACACGGGCAAATATGTTACACCTGAAAACCACAATTTAGTTACCTTGTTCTCAGAGGAATGCTTAATGTGTTTGGGTTTATATTACCATGACAGACCCTTTCAAGGGGCTGTGTATCCCGTTGTCACCACCGTGTTTCACACAGGAGGTTTGATTTAGCTTCCTTTTGAACTGATCGTTGCAGTGTTCCTATCTCCTCCGTGCCTTGGGGACGAGAGGCACAGAATGAGCGTACAGCTCTGCCTCTGCTTTCTGCCTGGCAGAGACGTGCTGGCTGCCCTGAAGGCAACACCAATCTAGAAGATGGGAGAAGTGTTGGGGTTGTCTTAGCATAAGGCATCCTAAAATCCACAGAAAATGCTGTCCCAAGGGAGGGCTCTTGCTAGGAAAGGAATACACTTCTGCACTAGAATTGTTTTTCTTTCTAGATACTTTCATGGTGGAAGATGCGGTGGAAGCCATTGGATTTGGAAAATTCCAGTGGAAGCTGTCTATTATTACTGGATTAGCATGGGCAAGTAATTGTTATCAAGGTCAATTGCATGATCATTGCTGAGAGAATCTCAGTGGTTTCAAATAGTGTGGCCATTGTCTGTTGACAAAAAGTCTCCAAGCAGATAATTGTACAATAAAGAAGTTATTTTACTTGAAATACGAAAGTGACAGCTGGCCTCAAACTTGTTATGTGGGGGTAATGGATAACCGATTGATTTCTCTGCCTCTGAAGTTCTTATAAATTGGCATTTTAATATTAAGTGTATTTTAGGGCAACAATATCTGAAACTTGTATTTACTAGCAATTGTCTACCTGCCATGGTTTAGATCCTAAGTCAGTAGAGGCATTTGGTCTATAGGTGATCTGTCAATATATTTGGTACAAATAAGGGAGAAAGAGAGTACATTATAATGTTATAAGTGGTTGTGACTGTGTCTAAAGGAGGTGGCAGCTCATCCCTGGAACATGCAGTATGGAAGTGGATGAGTCTGGCTGACCAGATGAACCTCCTCAAAATCGCCCACCAATAACTTTCAGCTCCTTGAATCCTCACTGCTGGTGTCAGAAATTGGTTTTAAAAGTTCATCTGTTGCTTTTTTTTTTCCCTCTACACTGTGCACACCTGCCGTACCTTGCAAACAGAAATGTTTTGTTTCACTTAGGAATGGCACAGAAGCAGAAACAAGGTTATTTTCCACAAAGTGTATGGCTGACTGCTGCGTCATTCTAATTTTCAGGCAGTTACTTATTTTTGTTTCTTTTTTACCCTTCTAGATGGCAGATGCTATGGAAATGATGATTTTAAGTATCCTAGCTCCTCAGCTTCATTGTGAGTGGCGATTACCAAGCTGGCAGGTTGCATTGCTCACATCGGTAGGAAAAATAACTGACAGCTCCTGTATTCTGTAAGGTTTTTCCACTCGTTGTTATTCAGACATTATGCTTTATATCCCAGAGTTAAACCTATTCATGGCCTTTGCAGATTGCCTTTGGCTCAGAATAACATGGGAATCTTTTTTTTTAAAGCCTGAGCTCAAGGAAATGAAACTCGGTGAGAACTGAGGAAGTCTGGAAGTTGCAGGTTCAAAGTTTTGTGTAATTTCCAGGAAAATATATGAATTGACTCAGACTCATCCTAAAATCCAAACCATTTGATTAATTGAAAAAAAAAAAAAAGGGTTGTAACTTTTTACTATCTTTCTTGAAAATCTTTCTCACCACATTTAAACTCGCTTGCAAGTAGGCAGACTGGGAGCTGTGAGAGAGAGCAAGCAATCACTTTTCGAGGCAGGTCGTCCAGTGATCTTCGCAAGCAGAGCTCTTGTCACAGCACCTCACAGTGTGGTGTATGATGCTGGAAACATGCAGTGCCTTCAGGCCTGAGAAAACCGGTGTGGGGGCCCTTCTCTGGTCATATGCCACTGTTACGTGGCATGCACTGAAGGAGGGTCTTATTCCTTCTTTCAGCTCAGCAGGAGTTTATTCCTGGTGAGCAAAGGAGAAGGCATCAGTGGACATGAGACAAAAGCTTTGACAAACAAAACTGCTTCTTACCCTCCACTTGTTGCTTCAGCATGTGCTTCTTTCTCAGATAAAATTCCTGTGGTTTTAATGTGCTGGTGGGGAAAATGTGCTTGAGTTTTGCTATTGCCTTCACAGAGTAGGATTTAATTTCTCTCTCCATCTACGGAATAAACTCTACTTTTTGGTGTCACCTCTGAAAAGGGCACAATGTATTTTCTTGGGCAACTCAGTCTGTTTTCAGGTTTTTCTAAAGTTTTAAGGTCTAATTTTATCTCCGTTCAAATCTGAGACAAACTGCCGAGGATGGCAATAGGAGACTGGAGGTGAACTGGCTGAAAAGAGCACAGACATCGTAGAACAGCTCTATCTTTTTGACCCCAGGCAACACTGATCAGCTTTTATTGGTGAATATGTTCACTGGAACTGGAGAACTCAGCATCTTCCAGTGCTGGACTCACGACGTGTGTAATACCAGAATGCGCGTTGTAGCATCAGACTGATTTGTCAGAGATTCAGTTTACGTATGTTGTGTTTGGATTTCTGACCTCAACAAAAGCAAGGCAGCTACTGAAAAACAGGGCAACAGCAAATTCCCTTTCAAATCATTGGCAGTGAAGTCAGTGACTTTTGAAAAATCCCACTACATGAATAATTACCTTTAATAGTCTCTACTGCAAAGGCTCAGCACACCTGGCCGTTTTGATCTGTTGTTAGAGCTGAAATTTTCTGGCTGTGTTCTCTTTGCTGTCACATAGGAAGTTTCACTGGTCTTGTTAAGCAGAACGTTTTTTTCTGGTGCTTCACAGGTGGTGTTTGTGGGAATGATGTCCAGCTCCACCCTATGGGGAAATATATCAGACCAGTACGGGAGAAAAACAGTAAGTCTCCAGCTTCTACTAGAAAATATTCTGATATTTCTACAGCGTGAATATTTTCAATGCATGATGCTCACAAACGTCATAGCATACATGTATGGAGTAGAGCCAGACTTGACCTCCCATAAAATAAAAGGAGTTTGAAGCTCTGCTTTGCATTTTGTTAATTTGTGCTACAGCACAGACTTTCTTTTCCTCGTGCTTATTTGTTAAATACAGGGCCTAAAGATCAGCGTGTTGTGGACGCTCTATTACGGGATCCTCAGTGGTTTTGCACCAGTGTATAGCTGGATCTTAGTGCTGAGGGGCCTGGTGGGCTTTGGGATTGGAGGAGTGCCTCAGTCGTAAGTAAATATTCACAAGTCCAAACTTTCTCTTTTCTATTTATTTTTGAATGCTTATGTCAAATTGAAGACATGCCTCTCTTCGGTTGTCCCAAACCCATTTTTTTTCCTAAGTATTTTGAAGCTAATATATGAAACTCTGAGAAGGTTTTGAGGATGCCTGATAGATCGCTGAGGTGAATCAAGTGTACAGTGATTTCTGCATGAACAAGCACCAAGGTTCCTAAATGTAGTATGTTACATGCCTTAAATCTTTTTAAGCTTCTCTCATTCCCTCAGGTAAACCATGGTGAAAATGAGAGACCCAAGAGCTCACTTAGAAGTGGGTAAAACACAACAGATAGCATTTTGTAGCTGTGACTAAAATCTGTGTTGCTTGATTGTGTTGGCAGAGACTCTAAGGGGTGACGTGATCTTGTGGCAAGATGGGTCATGACCTGAACACTAGCATTTAGGGGTAGTGCTGAGCCCTGACTCCCCCAGTATAAGATGTCAGATTATTGTTCAGTCAAAGCCTGAACCTGAGCTGCAATTCCAAAACCACACAGCCCAAACCTGAGCACTGAAGATACCTTGATGGCTCAGACACCTTTCTAATAAGGAGGTCGCATCAGGATATTTCTCTGTTACTGTGTCATTCCATTCATTGAAGACAGAGATTTCTAAATTTTCCGCTCAGAATAAATAACTCTGCTCTGGTCTTTTAATTATAAATGTGAAGGGAAAAGTATAGCCATCCTCTCTTTGTGTCATCTTTTATCCATATTAATAATTGATATTTTGCCCCATGGATGTGCTATTTCGGCATAGTCGGAGTCTAACTTTGATTGATGGCTCACAGACTTCTTCACGAGGCAAGTCAATATCCTGTCTTTCCTATTGCCATTCCTGCATAAAAGATTCAGAGCTGCTCTCCTGCTCACCTTTAGAAGCTGCACAAGAGTGTAACGTGTACGGAAATAGGCAAGTCCTTAGCCTGCTGTGTACTGACCAACGGTGAGGCGGTTTTTGCCACGTGGTTCCAACAGAGCACAACTGGAACGAGGCAGGAGAATAACAAAGGGGAGACACCAGAGTTAATGATGTCTGATGCTGCAAATACGTATCGATGATATTCCACAGAGCCCCAGAGGAACAGCTACAGCAGAGCTAGTGCTGTCTGGCAGTGGGGCTACGTGACTTAGTGAGAGACAGGTCACAGAACTCAAGTGGATTCCCCTGATACTGAGTCTGTTTCTCGTTCTAACTATAATGCTGATTCCTTTGACAGAGGAGTAAAATGTGTGAAGCGGGAAAAGTAGCTCCTTGCTAATATCCTTAGGTGCACTATGTGACTTTGGGTATAAGCGGCTGAATTTCCATGGAATAACATGCGTATAATTGTATATTCCGTAAGGGGTGTGAGAGAGAGATTTTTATTAAAGGTATTATTACACAGAAAGCACCCAGCAATAATAACCGAACTGACTGGAGCAGATATCCCTCCATCTGTACGTACGTAGGAGCTGCACCTGAGAAGCTGTGGCCTCCTTCCAGGAATTTTCTGTGAGATATTCTCTGACATTGGGTATGACCATTCACAGTGCCAACATTCAGACATACAAAGATAAGGAGTATTCTCTTAAGAAAACAGTTCTGTGCAGCGTTAATCAGTTTCTCTTTTCTGCTGTGATATGTAGGGGACTGCTCTACATTTCATTGAGTGATTTTACTTCCTTCTCCTCTCAATTCCCATTTTGATATAATACTGGGTGCGACTTTGGACTTCGATAAACTGAGTTCTGAGAAGCTACTCAGAGATCAACCCACCATTTGTCAGATTAGTAGGAATTTTGTCACAAACATCAAAGAAAGCCTAAAGAGTTCAGAGGCAGAAACTGGATGAGTCAATGGAATGCAAACAGAGTCAGAGCAAAGAACAAGTCTTACCAGACAGTCTGAAGAAGAGAGAGCCTTGAGTGGCTGCTGGCTCTTGTGTTCATCCTCGGAGAAGCCAAACCATTACTCTTTGGCGCAGTCATGAAACAAAGGCTCTGCAGAGTTAGATGATTTCTTTTTTGAATCCCCACAACAAAAGAATGCAAATTATTTCACACCAGTAACAGCATCAGACCTTGAAAGTATTCACCTCTTGTGGAATTGCAACCTGGCAGAGCAGACTGATGTGAAATTCTCTGAGCCAGCTGTAAAGCCCTCCAGAAATATTTTACTCAGCAAGCCCTTGTGTTGAATGCTGGTGGATCAGACTGAAAATATCAGGCTTAATGCCCGTCCCAGGGCAAGGTCGGGAAAACATATGCATGAAGAACTGCTACATTCAGCTAACAACACTGGGGTTACCGAATCACATGAATAGAGGAAATTCTGCCCTCCCTTGCAATGATGAACCAAAGGGATTTGGTTCTGATGTAAAAAAGAGGAGACTGAACCAGTGTCTATAGTCTCGCTGACTCTGAGGGCTGGGAAGTGTTTTATGTTACTGCTATGGATTTGGCAATTTGAATAAAAGGCAAACAAAACGTCTGAACCTCTCCCGTTGTGCTAACGCAGCATTTTTCTCAATGTGCTAACATGACATTTTTCTCACTGTTCACTCTTTACAGGGTAACCTTATACGCTGAATTCCTTCCAATGAAAGCCAGAGCAAAATGCATTTTATTAATAGAGGTGAGCAGTGTAGCTGTGCGTACCTGTCCCTGGCGGGACAAATTCAGCTGTTGCTTCCATCCATTCAGTCCTACTGTCTAGAAATCTCACACATATCTGCAGTCAAATCGCGATTGTCCAAGTTAGCGTGGAGCTGAGGTTGCCCCCGTGCGCTTGTACTAGCTTAGGTCTGAAAGCACCATCAAGCGTTGACGTAACCTCCGCTCCTTTTGTTCAGTCGGCCTTTTTCAAAATTAATTTGCATTCAGCGTTCAGTAAATCACAGCTGCTAGCACAATGGGTGTGTGGGGAGGAGAGGGGGCCTTTTGGATGTCACCGAATTTCATGGTGAAGTTAACCTACAACTTGGTAATGGATAGTGGAGAACTGACTGTTCAGCAAATGCAGGGCTAAATTCAGCTCCACGTTTTCAATCCAAAGCTACCAAAGTCACAGAGAGCAGATTTTTGCCCTGTAAATACTTCAAGGCAAAATTTGCAGCCTGTTAACGGATAGTTGAAGGGTCAGAGAACAGGGCTATTGCTTGTCTGTATCGGTCAGATGCATCCTCGTGGAAGACTTTGCCCAACTGAAGCAGCTTTTGGGTGCAAGACCAGTCATCTCATCTGTCTGCTGGCTAGTCCTACACTCGGTTGATTAATCTGTTGTAAATAGAGCTCAGCAGATGAATTACTCCTTTCTGTGTCACTTTGGTGCTGCCACGGTTTGGCTGCCTCTGAGCAGCCCTGGGTTAGAAATATATTCTGCGCGTTAAATAATGAGCTAAGTGGATCTGTAAGCTCAACGAGAAAAATCCAGCATGGGTGAGATATACAAGAGGATGCCAGCTCCATTATTTGCTGAGAAAGTATCGATTTCTTCTTTCATCTCTAGGCCAAACGCTGTAGCTTAGTGTTGGTAAAGAAAACAAATGTCATAAATCTCGTGGTGGTAGGTGGGAATAAGACTCACAGACAAGCACATTAATGGTCATTTTGCTTAAGAGACACCGTGCGACGAGTCTATTCGTCGTGAGGAGCTACCTTCAGTTAAACAGGAACGTCTAGAGAAAGCCGACACTGAGTTTTCAGAAGTGAACATTTTAGCTTCTGTGACATTTAAACAAATCCCCTTAAAATGTCTGGCCTCTCTTTCCGTGCAGCGGTGCATATTTGAAATGTCTCTGGCATTTCTCTCTCCAGCTGTCCCTAGAGAGCACATCTCAAACATTGAAAAGAGGAATGCCTTAAGAGAGCTCCTACTCTTATTTATGACTGGCTTTTTTTTCCTTTGGCAGGTCTTTTGGGCCATTGGGACTGTATTTGAAGTCCTCCTAGCGGTGTTGGTGATGCCCACTCTTGGCTGGCGGTGGCTTCTCATCCTTTCTGCCCTCCCACTTTTGCTCTTCGCCGTCCTGTGCTTTGTAGGTATTCCTTCAGACGCGTGCGATCCGCCTCTCTACCTGATTCTGTAACCTGATGGAAGAAAATCGTGACAGTTTTTTGAGCTCTCTGCGGGTGATTTCTTTGAAATGTCTGAAATAATGACAAAAATGCTGTTGTTGCAACAGGGTGCTAGTAAAAACATTCCAGTGAGAGCTGTGTTTATGTGACTGTAATTGCTGGAGGATAATGGTGGGCTGGGATTTTGTGAATCCAAATCAGGTCTGGAAGCATCTCCAATTTAATGACTTTGTTTCAGCTAAGCTCGGTGGAATCAGCATTTTATTAACTGTCGCTGTTTTCCTGATTGCTCTTTAGCTTTTTAAATCATTTGGTCGAAATCGTAACTTTTATAATTACTGACCACTTAAAAAATCCACCCAAATCAGGAGTAAAATGTGCATGGTGGAGATAGATTCTGAAAGAAGACATATATGAGTTAAACCTGAGTTTCAGTGCACTGTTAGGTGATATATTTGCCAATTAGTCCATCTTCTCAAAGGTATATGTCCTTGTCAGGTTCTTGAGCAACTTTATTATTCTTTAGTTACTGACATTGTTTTTCAGAAAAATCACGAGTTACACAGGTGCTAATGTGCTAGTTTTTAAAAGGGCCTTAAAAAATGCAAATTTTGGAATGCCTGGAGCATCTTGTTACCGAAGTAGCAGAAAGGAAAGATTTTAGACTGGAGTTTTGACTTGATGGTGAGGGTGGGGTGTTGCAATTTCTTAAACCCTAGGAGTTTGATGTTTGGCAGAAAGACATCTCTCTGGATTGTTAAAGATTACTTCTGTAATCCTTTCTTATGTGAGTAGTTTGCTGGACTCGCTGAGATTTGCCGCTGTAAGGCAACAGAGAAAATCCCCAGTTTGTTTATTGCTGTTTATTTGACATGGCGTGTCTGATCTGCTTTGCTCTCTTAGTGGCTGCCAGAAAGTGCCAGGTATGATGTATTATCTGGAAATCAAGAGAAAGCAATTGCCACTTTAAAGAGGATAGCAACAGAAAATGGAGCTCCAATGCCTTTGGGAAAATTAATTATTTCCAGACAGGTACGTACAGGTAACAGGCACGTTAATAATGTGGGGTACAATGAACATGTGCCATACTCAGATGTATCTTTATGAGCAAATAATCAACGTTAAGTTTCATTTTAGTGTCTCAACCAGTAATAAAAATAAATGAGAGATGATCATATATGCCTCTTCCACAGGAATGAAGAGTTACTCATTTTTATTTACATGAAAATCCTAAGAGTGAAAAGGACTTTTAAAATTGGCGTGAACATTATTTAACCTCACTCTAAGACCCTATTGTTAAAGAAAATCAAACCTTGAGGCTATCAGAATTCCCAGATCTGAACTCATGACACAAGACGGAATTTGGTTCTTTAGCTGCACCTCATTTTTAATCTAATCCTGATTTTCTGGGGTGGAAAAGCTGCAAGCTCCTACTCATTCCTAACTTGTGGAGTGATTCAGCCTGTTGCTTCTGTGCTGCGTATATATTGCACTGGATTTTTTTCTTTCATTTCAGCTTTAGATGGCCGACTTTTCAGCATCACTGTCATCATATAAAGCAGCCCTGTATTTACAGAACAGGCAGCAGATTTTTATAAGGAATGTTACAAAGTTAGCCAGCAAGGAAGGACAGCAGAGGGAGACCTGTGGATTTGAACAAGAGCAAAATTGTAAAGCTGGGCGGGAGCCTGTTGATAGTGCCAGCATCTCGCTAGTCAGAGCTGGAGGTTGGGTTTCCTAAGGGCTGGCTCAGTTGAGGATTTGAGCTCCTGCACGTTTCACAAACGCTTGGTTGAGTCGCAGTAATTTTGATGGGCTGTGCAGGAACCCTCTCCAAGCTTTGGTTGGTTTGCAGGGTGGGGTGGGAAAATGCTCTTCCTCAATCACAAGCTAACAAGCTGAGCCCTCCGCTCTCTCCCTCTCTCTCTCTCAGAACTACACTGTTTAAAAGGGGTCTGCTTGTAGTTCCTCAGTACCTTACCCTGGATCAGAAGCCCTGAGGGGTTGCTCTCCTTTCCGGGGAGCTGCCTGTGGGCCACATGAATCCTGTGCCACCTGTGGACTGGCAAAGGTCCCTCTGCCTCTTTCCAGCCCCACCTGATTCTGACAGATCTTCGCCCTCCTTGCAGAGAAGGAGTAGCATGCCCTGCTCGTGAACTGGTTTTGATATCGTTATGCTCCTAGATAATTCCTCTTGACAGAGGAATTCTTTGCTTGGATAGGAAATCAAGTAAATTGGGAAGTAATTCTTGGAGCTCCAGCATGACTCTTACAACCTGAAGAGCCCTAGGCTGGAACCAAACACCCTGAGGTGCAACGCGTAGTACCGAGTGTTGTGTCATCCCTTGCTACTCAGCGTCCTCCAGTCCAGGACCAGCGATCCGGCTGACCCTCTGCCTTCTGCTTGTTTTTCAACAGGAAGACCGAGGAAAAATGAGGGACCTTTTTACACCCCATTTTAGATGGACCACGTTGTTACTCTGGTTTATATGGTAAGAGGAATTATAAAGGGCTCACTGCCAGCATGGTTCTAAATGCTTTTTGATGGAGGCATTTTACAGGGTCACTAAAATACAGCAACTTCCTCCTCCAAAAAAAACCCTCCAGCCTATATTGATTTGTAATTTATTAAACCACCCAATTGCTAGCATTCTCAATCTAACTGCCCTTTCATTTTCTAAATGCTGATGGGAAATAGCTTTGGAGTAGCACTTAGTGGAAGTCCTCGCACAGTGGGTTCAATTTTGATTCATGTTGTTTACTGTAGGTTTGACCAGCTGAGACTTCCTCTCTCATTTTCTTTCTTGCAGGTTTTCCAATGCTTTTTCATATTATGGGTTAGTTTTATTAACTACAGAGTTCTTTCAAGCAGGAGACGTCTGCAGCAGTGAGTACTAGTGCATCTTGTCTTTTTAAATATACTCTGTTAAGTGGCGGAATATCTTTTATTAGATCACCTTCTGCTGTTACTTTGGGAAGGACTGTGGCTGCCAGCCTGAATTCTAAGGCATCCACTTAGAGGGCTGCTTATTTAAAACACTTTTCATAGACTGTTCCTTGTCACCTGCACAATGTGCAGAGGTCCTGCAGTGTCTCTGAGCCCAAAGTGTAAAACAGCAAGACAATCTTTGAGGGGGGCCTGTTAGAAAAGTATCTGTTCTTCTCGAGAAAAAAGCGATTAAAGAAATCTAAGTTTCCAGATTTGACAGGCCTAATTAGTTCTGAGATAGTTCTGCTGCTGTGGAGCTCCTAGGTTCTCAAAATATGAAGACCTGCTGAGAAAAAAGATAATGATGAGAAACCATCCCTCTTTTTATTGCAGATTTTTGAGCTAAAAAAAAAAAAAGTGCTTCAACTGCATCAAGAAGAGACTTGAAAATTTTGATTCCCCAGGAGAGGCTTGATTGTATCCAGAACACTTATAATTTTCCAACTATCAGACAATTTTCACTAATTACAGAAAGAAAATGGGTAGTATTGGGAAAAGACACAGATCCCAAGCTTCTACAGTAGTTTATTAGCTATTTGAGAGGTCCAGCTCCAGCGGGCCTCTACAAAGGAGCATGCATCCTTTAAAAATATTTGGTTTTAAAAAACCATGGTATTATTTGGTCTTCTCAAATTACGGGTGAAGTGTTAGTACTTCAGTTTATGTAGGGAGAAACTGAATTATTGATGCTAATTCTGCTCATTGTTATGAGCCCTGGAATGATATCAGAATGATATCAGAATGATAATTCTGATAATGATGGTTGCACAGGTAAGACATCCTGCCACAAATAAGATTATAAACTGTGTCATTTCAGCTGTGTCTTCCAGGTTGAACATACCTGAATATAAAATCTTGTGGGGTTTTTTTCTTTTTCCTTCCACAGTATCCAGCAGAAGGAAAGAAATTAAAGCAAAGTGCAGCCTGACCTGCGAGTATCTGACAGAGGAAGACTACACTGATCTGCTCTGGACAACCCTGTCAGAATTCCCTGGTAAGTGGCAGCAGAAGCACCGGTTCTTCACAGCCAGTGGCTCAGGGCGATTGGAGTGGGCTCTTGTACAAGCAATGAAATGGGCTCTTTGGTCTGCCTCAATCCATTCCACGCCGCTGCTGGGTACCTCTGCCAGCACTGTATTTAAAAAAAAGAGAGAGAACAAAATGTCAGGTTTAAATATGGTAAATATGGCTGCAGCCTCCACCTTTGCTCAGTTCCCAACACTCAACTTGTCTCCTTCTACAGGCGTGTTAGTAACACTATGGATTATTGATCGGATAGGCCGCAAGAAAACCATGGCCCTGTCTTTTTTTGTCTTCTCGTTTTGCAGTCTTCTGCTGTTTCTCTGTGTTGGAAGGTAAGTCAAACGTGGTAAACAACTTGTATATCTGATTCATCCGTGTTCTCTCTTGATTATAGCAGGAGAACTGGAAGTGGTGGTCTGAAAAGCCATGAGATGGTCATGCTCAACGGGAGAAAGAATTAAGGATGGTGTTAGGTTTTCTCACCAGAGTTTGGAAGGAGACTAAGAGAAACAGGAGAGGAGAAATCCTTCCCTATAATCTTGCGGACAGACGAATCCAAAAGGGAAAGTAAGAGCTTATGTCTGAGTAGGAGGTAACCGTTGGACAAGTTTTAAATCAGATCTGATGTCCTGAGCCTCCGTTGCTGGTTCATGTACGACTCTCTGCCATTCATTGCCTGTATTTCCTCAGGCTGACTGCATAATAGTTGCCAGGGCAGTGCTTCACAGCCAGGCCCGGTCTCTGCCTCCTGTCCAGCTGCTCTGACTGCTTCACTCCTGGGCTCTCAGTGGTCCAAATGCCGTGGCACAATTCCTTGAGAAGCAGTAGGCACAGACTGGCATCACCTAGAAGTCGTACCCAGCGTGACATTGCAGAAACACAGGGCTTGACTTTCAAAAGAACTCGGGTTCCCATTTTTGTGTTGTTCCACTTCTGTCCTTCATGCAGATTTTTCTAAAGAACAACTCGGTCAGCAGCTCTCCCCTTGAATCTTAATGGTACCAAATTTACAGCTGCCTCTGTGACAACGTCTGTGCCTTGGGGCTGACAAACAAGGAAATGACCTGATGGCCAGAGGAGAGCTCTATGAATTTCAACCTTTTGGGACACTGTACAAAACCTCACAGTACAGAAACTGTGTCATGAGAAACCTCACAAAGTTGCAAATGCTCAGGTCGTATGTAGGCTCCTGTCTTTCATACATGCCATTTTTTTTGTTAGTGCCATTCAGAATGTGGAATATTTTTTTATTTAGATAAGCTTAGGCATTCACTGTTTGTTTCAATAGGCCACAGCTGTCAGTCAGAATGAATACACTTAGAAAACTGATGTGGTTATGGGAATGTGGATTGTTTGGCATCATTGTTATATTAAAGGTCCGGGAAAAATACAGAGGGTTCATTAAAAAACGAAAGAAATCATTCCAACAAATTTAGCATTTTTATTGCACTTGCCTCCAAGTTAAACAAACAGACTGTACAGAACAATCCCAAACACTGCTCTCCTTTTTATTCTCACAGAAATGTTCTTACTGTGCTGCTCTTCATTGCAAGAGCTTTTATTTCAGGAGGATTTCAGGCTGCTTATGTTTACACTCCTGAGGTAAGGAGGTTGTTTTTGTAATGAGAATATTTAAGGGGAGTGAGAACATGGTGGGAAAGTCATTTTTACAACCTCTTCCCAATGGACCTTGTCCCAGACATGAGTTGATGATCTCATTGTCATTGCCTAGCAGATCTTGCTGTAGCTCCACTTATTAATTTCCATTGATTTTAGGAGACTGAGGAACTTCCCACTTGGGTTAATGGGCTGATGCTTTGTTCACAGGTTTATCCAACGGCCACGCGTGCTTTGGGCCTGGGAACGTGCAGCGGGATGGCCAGAGTGGGAGCCCTCATAACTCCGTTCATTGCACAGGTAAAAAGCTCTTCTCCTTAGAGACTGAAGGTGATGCAGAAACTGTTGTCCTGCTATAAGGGCCAAACTGAGGGCAATCTGTGCATGCTGTGTTGAAGGAGAGTTGTCATTGCCTGTTCCTTGAGGAGAGTTCAGGCTCGTCTCTGGATTTAACTCTTGCTCCAGAGCAACACATGCTGGGGGATAAAGCAGCAAGAAGCAGGCTGCCGCACCTTGGAAGCCACCACCTGGAGATGGGATTTGCGAGAGGCGGAAGCTTCCTGTCCAGGGTGCAATGCCACCAGTCTCTTGAGATCTCAGGCCCTGGGGGGCATGTGAAAAGAGCTAGGCAGGGAGGCTGGGGGAGCCGGGCTCTGCAGGGACAGGTCTCAGAAGACTGTGCCCAAAGCAGTAGCTCTGCCAAGGGCTAGATAGAAACCTTGTGATGTGCTGAAGTCCTGTCTCATACGTAAGGGCAGCAGCACCCCGTGTAATCCAGACTGTTAGTGTTCAATAGCTGTGTGTAAATCACCGAGGAAAGAACGCATGCAGCAGTGTGTGTTAAAGGTTTGGGTTTTGGTTTTTTTTCAAATACTGTAATTAAACTTCCTACTACTGCATTAGTATTTGTATTTTGTTCTGTCCTAAAGCCCGAGGGTACTCTTTTGTATTTTCTGCCCTTTTTTGTGCAGGTGATGTTGGAATCTTCAGTCTATTTAACGCTGGTGGTTTACAGTGGCTGTTGTCTGCTGGCTGCTGTGGCTTCCTGTTTCCTGCCCATTGAGACAAAAGGTCGTGGCTTACAGGAGTCCAGCCACAGGGAATGGGGACAGGAGATGGTTGGGAGAGGATCTCATTCCCCAGAGGTCACCCGCTCGAACTCTGGATCACAGGAATGATGGGACATGAAAACCTGCTGAGAGAATGAATGATACAAGCAAGATCTCTTTCACAAAACAATTCCAAAACCCTAAAGCATTGAAAGCTGACCATACTGTCACTGCCAATGTCATGCGTCAAACCGCAGGAACTTCTGGGTTGAACCTAAGCAAATTGTGTCTCTGCTGCTCTTTGCTCACACTCATAAAAACTTTACGTCTGTGTTGAGAGGATTTTGTCCAGATATCATCTGAGGTTTAACAGGAATGGTTTTTCTTAAGTCTGTTGTGCTTGCATGGTCAGCTCTTCAGCTTAAAATGTCCCGTGTCAAGCAAATAGCTAACTGAATGCAACTCGGTATAACCTATAATTAAAATCATGTACTCTTGATGCCTAAAAACAAAAGATTAATATTTATTGTGTACCTGGCATAGCACACGGTGGATTCCGTACACTACAGAATAGCTTTTACAAATTACATGCCTGCCTTGCACTTTTTTAGCCATCATCACCACCACTGCAACATGGTAACGGCAACCCAACCGATGCTTTCTAAATCCCTTGCTTGTGAGTTCTGTTCCTTGAGAATTAACAGGCACTGATTGCTCCAGAAGGATTTTCTGAATGTTTCTCCCATCCAAGGTGGGTGGTTTGAGCCAGTGAGGAGCGGTATTTGTGGCAGAGGTGGAACCTTACCTAAGAAATGTAAATCCTTGAGAGTTTGAACTTCTCTAACATTGCCATTGTCGCTTGGTGAAGATTGCTTCAGCTGCACTGGTGTCTCTTTGTGTGTGGAAATGCACGCTGTGGTTTTCTGCATGGGTCCAGGTGTGTTTCTGCTCAGTTCACCTAAGTATGTCCTCATGGTGGCGTAGCCAAAGCCGTTGGTAAAAATGCCTCGGTCTGAACAGCTGCATGTAGCAGTTTGGATGGAACTGCTTTCAAGTGTCTCCCACCAGAAGCTGGCATCCAGATGGCTGGGCAGAACTTCTCGATAGCCGCTGGTTGTACGTTGACTGTAACGTCAAGCCGGTGACACAAGAATGTAGCTGGCATCATGTCGTGAGCAAACAAAAATCACGGGAAGAGCCAAACCGCAATCGTCCTCAGATGAGGAACTTCACTCCTTCCGACGTCGCTCCTCCAGGTTGATGATTCCGTCGGAGAATGTAGGAGAGCTCAGGTGAGGATAAGTTTGTCTTGTTCGACGGAAACCTGTTGCTGCGCAGGAAGTCAGATGTCAGAGTCTGTGGATCCTGTGTGACGAGGAAGCTGGGACGTGTCTCGTCCACGTCTCAGTTTATTTTCAGGATTCCAGGCTACGGAACATGCAACTAAATGTACGTGAGATGGACTAAACGCTCAGCGCTGGGCCGTGGGAAGCAATACATTTTTATAGTATGTGTGGTCAGCTGTCTCACGTAAACGTAGGTAAGTGTCCAACCAATTTTTGCACAGTAGAATATTTTAATATTCTGGCAACCAGGCCCCTTTTCTGTGGGGCAAGAGCAGGTCCCTGAGTCCATGTCTGGGTGCAATACAAACGAACACAGCTGGGGTTCAGCTTTCACTGAGGGTTTTACAGCACTGCTGTGCAGTACAATGCTCCGAGACACGTTAGGCTGTTTTGTTTCTAGCGCTGAAGTAAAATTTAGAAGTGGATAATTCCTTAAAGAACCTGAGGAAGCTCAGACTAATAAACAAAAGGCCAAAGAGGTTATTGACAAGGCACCGCAGTGTCTGTCCTTTCCCTTTCCGCTCGACAATGGTGACTGCGATGAAAGACTCCAAAGGCAGCCTGGTCTAAACAGGCAAATTTTCCTTTTCCCAGTAATACAAAAATGCAGTCTGGCTCACAGAGGGTCCCGCCTCAGCTGTGGCTGCTGACACAGACCCACATGGCCAGTCCCGGTGGCTGCTGCCATGAGCTGGTTTCGTTCTCTCTGCTCTCTCTGCAGCCCATGTGCTTCCTCCCCTGCAAGCTCCCATCCCGGTCAATCCCAAGGAGCAGGCAGGGCTCTCACGGCGCTGACACCAGTCAAATAATTCGTTTTCACCTCCCTCTGCCAGGCTGCAGTTGGATAATTCTCCCACGTGCGCTACGTGACCGAGGTACCTCAGGGCTGCCTCGAAGTAGGAACAGAATGACAGAGAATTCAGAGCAGGGTGTAAGCGTGAGTTAGAGGTGAGAGAGAACGTAAGTGCCCAACTCCTACCACCTGACAGCCTAGCTGCTAAATTTGTGTGTCTGTTATTGAGCACCTCTAGTTAAAATTCTGCTTTTTCCAGTGTTCATGTTCATGTATCACTTTGTTGGGCTTTTTTTTTTTCAGTCAGTATTCAATGGTTTTAAAGAGCTGCGTTGCAGTGGCCTTCAGAGTTTTAGGTGACGTACATATATCTCATAAATTTGCACACGCGTATACTTCAGAAAATATTTCACAGGTAAAGATTTACAGTTAATGTGAAAACATTTTGATGCTGTTGAACAGTTCAGTTTTAACCTGTGACATTTACAGTATTTAAAAAAAAATTAAAAGAATTGAAGGCATTTTTGCTTTTCGCTTCACATGGATTCTGCGTTGAAAAAGTATTTCATTATATAAATGCCATGATTGGTCCTGCTGAGACATCTTCATACTCCAGGTCTTTGATTTGGAGATGGTGGTGCCTAAAGCACGACCCAGAGCTCATTGAAGCCTGAGAGAATCCCTTGTGGATATCTGCGGGCTCTGGAGCAGCTAAATAGAGGAAGGCAGGCAGGAGCCCACCACAGCTGACCCCGCCTCGCTGGAGTCAGTAGGAGCCCACTGGGTGCCGCAAACAAATGAAGTTCAGGTTTTGCACGTCCTTGCCTATTCTTAACAACGGGAGGACATTTTCAATTGTTCACCAAAAAAACAAAGAACGTTTGGGTTGATACACAATAGCCTATAAATAATCACAGGTCATATTCTGTTAATATGGCAACACCATTGAGGTACATATTAAGCTTCCAAAGATTGTTTTACGCACCGGCAAGTATTTTTCACTGGCAAAGGAATTAGTGTAGCTAGTTCATCTAAAACAATAAAGGGAGATAATTCTGAATTAAAAGGGAGAGCAAACAGAGTTGTGGGATTCAGGGATTTGTTAACCGTCCAGTCTGTTAATGTGCAAAGCTGTTGTGGGAAAAATAATTCTCCAAGTGTGCTTTGATGGAATGGTTTATTATTCCTAAATGCTTGCCGAAAGAACACTGAATGTTTTCCTGTGTTTGAATGTACAGTTTCTAAGCTGGATACATTTTAATGTTTAAAAACTTTGTGTATATCAAGCTTGTTGTAAAATACTCCTTTTGTTCCTATGTTACTGATGCGACACTGGATGGTTTAATTCCACACTAGATATTTTATGTTGAACAAATAAATAGTTTTTTCAGTAAAAGTGATCTTCGCTATTCTGTGGGTCTTTCACGAAGGGCCAGTAGCTTTATCACGTTTTTCTCTTAACGTTCCGAGGTTTGAGATCGACGCTGCTCGGTGGGTTCGGCTGGATGAGCCCTTTGCAGACCTGACTCCTTTTGCGTCTGTGTTTTGTGCATTCCGACACAAAATTCCCAGAATTCATGTTCACGTTATCAGTAACTTCACAGGTAACTGCAGCTAAATAGTTCTAAAATTGGCTTAAAATCTTTTGGTGCTTTTTTGCATTTATTCTAGTTGGGACTATAAAACCCAGTCAGTTGTGCGGGTGATTTCTAGCAGTGCCTGTAACGCTGCAATATGGGATTGCGGGTCACAAAGGCTCACGGCGAGGAGGTGGCTGAGCTTGTGTCTGGACTTAAGGGCAGGCAGGGTTCCTTCTATTTATTTACTTTTTAATGTAAACTTTCCTTTTACCCATCTTGTTTTCATAAAGCATAATTAAGTGCATCCCTCTGCCCTTTTAAATGATATTCTTAATCAGATACCCAGTAATTTACAAACATACTGTTGTTCATGTCCGAGTCAAAAAGACTAACGATCTGCAAATACTTTGCGTGCTAATGCAGCGTGTCCTCATCTCCATGTGCATTAATCCTCCTTCTCACAGCTTGTGCAGCCACTGAAACTCCGCTGGGACGAAGAGTCTGATTTCTGGGAATGGAAACAGTCGGTAACAGCTGGAAGGGTTTGTGTCACGGAAGCGATACTCAGGGAGAATATTCATTCTTCTGTGTTTTCTGTGAACTTTTTTGGCGTCCTCGGGCATTTCTAAAGCTCTTTCTGTTTTCCAACATGCCAGAGCTGGTGTTTGCTTACAGAGGATAACTTTACTGATACTTGATGTGTTTCCAGCTTTGTTCTGTGTCACAGGCAATCCTTGTTGAGGACTGCGAGTTCGCAAAAAGTGCTGATGCCGGCCGCTGGAGATGGCGTTTTGTGCTTATCAAGAAAGCACATCCCGCTGATTCTCCTACCTGACCCTTCCCACCGAAGCGATCTCCAGTCTTCCGTCCCACGATGTGCCACCTGTGGCTGCCCCGCCGTGTAAAACACCTTTCCTGTCGCTCTACCCACACCATCATTAAGAAGAGGAAGCATTGCACATGACATCTTTGAACATCGCCTTTATCGTACGCGCAAATTAAATTGTGATCTTTCAGAAAATAAGCAAAATTCGACCACCAATAAAATCAGACATCTAATAATTTCTATTTGTGTTCTAAGAGGCTAAGATCATAGGACAGCTGCTCCCGCAGGCTCGGAGATCAGAAGAATCAACTGTTTATTGCAAGCTAGGCAAGCTACCCCCCTGCTCATCCAGCGTGGCCGTTCTGAAATGGGATAAGAGGTTTTGGATTTACAGTGGTACGAATGAAAGGAGTGTGTGGTCCTTAATATCTTGTATTCAGAATAAGTGAAGCCAAGTGGATGCTGTTTCACTGACCAGCTTGTACTGAAGTGGTGTCACAGACCATTAGGTTTAGCATTAATCAATAGTAAATTTTCCCCAGCTCTTGTTTTCTCTATCATTTCCTTGATTATACCCCTGTGAATGTGGTTGCAATATATCTGGTGAACTGCCAGGTAAAGTGGGAAACTATTTCGACAGACAGACTGGACAGGAGCTCCTGATTTTCCCACGTCTGCCTCTGTTTCTGAAGCTCGCCGCAGAGGCGCCTCAGCTCGAGGACAACAGCAAAATCTTTCGGCAGGACTGCCCTAAGCGCTCACGTCCAGCCGTCGAGCAACAAGAAGAATGCACAGGTGACCATGACTACCATGAGATGTTTTACACTCGGCAAGGATGAGAGAAGCTCCCGTGTTAGGGCAAAATCGCAGCCAGAGCAACTCCAGCACCTGCTCTCGGTGGTACGTTCAACAACAAGTTTTTGCTGCGGGCTCGAGCGTGACAGGCGTGAGAACTCCCATGCAGCATCGCGTTGCCAGCACCGCAGGTGTCACAGTAGAGGCAAACACAACCCTGCCGCACCTCTACAAAAGGAGGAGAGGATGGGAAGGGGACAGGTCAGCAGCTGCTGAGAAATTCCGGTGCTTACAGTGAGGGTAACTGTCACTGTTTTGTAAAAGGGCAGGCAATCAGCAGATGCGCTCGTCAGGCTGCTCAGGGTGTGTGAGCTGGAAGAGCACACACTGGTCACGAAGTGTGTGGAAATGGGAATCGATGGAAAATGAGATCGATGGAAGGTCTCCCAGGGCGGTGGCTGTGCTGGCACAGTAACCTGGAAATGAGACCGGTCTCAAACGAGCCCATGGGGCAGCAGTTCTTGTGTGCACGGACCATCTCCAGCAGCACTGAGTGCTCATCGCTTCCTGCAGAGCCTTCATGAGTCAGGAGACGGGTCCTTCGACAGGGAGCGGCTCCGGTGCCAGGAAACCTGCACTTTTCATGGGACTGCTTTAAACTCCCAGGAGAGGAAACATGCCCAGCACCACCCTTTCACTAGGTGCAGCTCCTGGTAGGGCACAAACCAGGCTGATGAGCTATTTTTGGCACGCAGAGCCAGCGGGAGAGAGAAGCTGCATCACAGATGAGTAAGGAACAGTCGGTTTATCTGCAGAGGAGAGTGAGTCGGGCGCTCGGGGCAGCCACTACCCTTTGGATTTGAGACTAATGCTTCCTGACCATTCCACATCTTGTCTGGGATTGGTTTTTTTAAAGCAGGACATATAGGTGGTGTGGAAACATCAGCCAAGCTGTATCTTCAGAATTGGGCCCCCACCAGCATCACTGAACACGCCAGAAAAGTCGCACCCGCCTGGGTGCTGTCCCCAACTCCTTCGGGGGAGGCACAACCTACCCCGAGCCAGCTTCTCTCTCAGAGCTGCTGCTCCAACCATGTCTCACAGCTGGGGAAAATGAGAAACTGAAGAGCCCGTGGGAGTTTTAGGGACTAGAACAGCTATTTTGCGTATGCTCTCTGCTATATATAGAGCCTGGCAAGTGCGCAGGGCTGGAACATGTTGCTTTTGTTGCTAAAAACATCATTTGGAAAGCCCATTTTAGGCAACTGCTGCTGTCTGTTGCCAGATACACTAACCAGGTGCTGTAGACCCGTGCTTCGTCCTGGCATGAATGTAAGAAGAGCTATTGCAACTGGAGCACGTGCTTTTAGAGCTGTTGTTACTTCCCTGGGAGCTTCAGGGCTTCTTCCTACTAAGGAGCTTTTGCCTCCTGGGGGAAGCTTGCAAATCTAATTACATGCTGGGTGTCGGAGCAGTCAGTGAAGACCTCAGGTGGCACCAGCTCAGTTTCAGATCCTGTCTCATCGCTCAGACGAACTGCAGGACCGTCAAGATTTCAGCTGAATCCTTCCTGCCCTGTGCAGACTGATCCCCGGGACAGAAGCCTGCTTTCCCACAAATAATTAGTTCATATTTAAAAGCACTTAGTTTCGGTAGGTTTTGCAAGGCTGGGGTGGAGGGAACTCATCAAAAATGGCAGCGATAGAACTGACAGCAACCTGAAAACGTTGGAGCAGGTGGGAGAGTTGAATGGCCCACGTGTATCAGCGCGTTATTTGCATTTTCCTGCTGTGATTTCTAAGCAACTGCTGCCACGATAGTGGCGGGTGAGCGGGCACCTCACAAGCGGGGCTGTGGCAGGCTGGCCAGCTTCTTCTCCTGGAGGATGCTCCCAAAGAGCCTGGCTGCTGCCATGGCACAACCCCAGTGGATGGTGATCCCGAACCCGCCATGGCCGTAGTTGTGTATCACCTGGGGGAGAACAGAAGGGGTCAGAGATGGAAAAGCTGTGCTGGAGCCACGAAAGTGCCTAGAATGTCCTCAGTCTCTTTATGTTAACTCTTCGATCCGGCAGCTCCCAGTGGTCAGCTCAGAGACCCATTGCTCTTCCCCCCCCCCCCGAAAGCTGCTGGAGAGGCGCCTTAGAGAAATTCGAGGTGGTTCAGTGGGAACCCGGAGCATCCTTTGCACCCGCTGCTGCAGAAACCCTGAAGCACAGCCACGGGGCTTGAGGCTGTGGTGCTCAGAGCACAATGTGTTATGTCCCACCCCGTGTTTGCCCTGAGCATTTTATTAAAACTTGCGGATTGGGTTTTATTAAACAGAGACACAAAGTCTGTGTGCACAAGGACTTCACGCTTAATAGGCTCCCCGCAGAAAACTCCACTACTTTAAAGGCTGACATCAAAACATAGTTCATATGTGCCTCGTGTGGTTCTGGGAGCTACAGAGTTTTTCTCCTGTCTGGTTTGTTTTGGTGCCTATCAAGGACTAAGCTCCAACTACAGGTTTCCCTTCGGCAGGAGGGCTCCCTTCCCACTCTCCCCATAAAATCCACCAGACCATAAGATCTTCGACACTTATCCCTGACACTGGGCTGCCAAGGTCGCAGTGACCGATGCAGTTAGAGGGGTGGTTAATGATGCCCGGGGACCATGCACGGTACCTCAGCCTGGCAGTGCCCGTGGCGGACGGTCTCCCGCTCCAAGCGAACCTGGGGGCGCTTTGGTCTCAAGCCGGTCCACTCCTGTACAATCTTGGCTTTCTGAAAGCAAAACTCCAGCAGTGCTCACAGAGCAGTTTTCAGAATTACAGCAGCCGAGCATCACGGTGATAAGTGATCCATGAGACAAGAGCTCTTGTGATGAGCTGGGACGACAGGTCTCCCCATCCCCACAGCTGCACCGGCTCCTGTGATGCTGAGCAGGACAATTTTGGATCATGGCCTGTCCATTACCAGCCTGCAGCCGACATGGTGAGGCAAACCACTGCACCAAAGCCCTGTGCAGCCTTTCCTGCTAACCCAGGGCACAACGGCAGCATTGGCGAGGATATGAACCAGCCTGACCGCACACCAGCCTTTCTTTGTGCCAAAGAACACGATGCGCCACAACCAAAAGGCTGGGACCTCCTGAAGGTTTTGTTCTGCTTTTTACTGGCTCTACAAGTAATTATTTTTTCCTACATCCTTCACCTCAGAAGTAACACCAGCCCCAGGCAGATGTACAGAGCCCGAGCCGTGCCTGATGAACACAGAGAGATGCACAAACACCGAGCCGTGCCACCCCGCCCTGATTTACCCTCTTGCTGAGTGCCGCGTGCTGCCCTAGGGTGCACGTCAAAACCCCGGGGTTACTCTATGCACAGATTTCATCCCTCACCGGCACATTTCTTGACTTATACTCTGCATAAGCAGTGGTCACCTCATAGCTCTCCTGGCCACCTGAAGGCAGTGCCACGTGTTACTTGTACAAAGGTTCAGATGCCAGGGTTTGACCTCAGCGTCGTCCCCTCAGCAGCTCCAGCTACTCCTGAGGACCCGGGCTCTCTGTGCCCCCTCTCTTCTGGTGCTGAGTGAGGGTCACCCACCTGGAGAGCAGGGAGCAGCCTGCAGCAGCTCTCCCAGATGGTTTTGTGATCCTGGGCGCTGTTTTCTTCGTTCCAGTTGCCGTGCTGATTGATCCCCCCCAGGACTGTGAACTCGCTCCTGCACCAAAAGCCAAAGGAGAAAAATGGTGGCGGATGTGCAATGCACAGGTCCTGCTGCGCCCGGAGCCTGTGACATGTTCCTGACGAGGAAACTCTCACGCCAACCAGGCGAGAGAGCGGTGCCTGCATGTCTGCTCATCAGCAAATCCTTCATTAACTACCATCAGCACCCAAAGGCCCTTACCTGGGGAAAACCAAACAGCTAATTTCATCTTTCATCAAACAGGTCTGCTTCTGCCAGCCTGGGGAAGAGGGTAGGGTTGGAAGGAACAGGATGCCGAGAAAGATTGCTGCTGCCACCCCAGAACAGAGGGCAAGAGGCTGGGGGGAGCCGGGGGTGTCTGTACCTCCTGGACCCTTCTAAAACCTTGTGGGGAAACACAAACCCCAAAGGGCTGAATGCTGGGGAGGGGGGCTGAGCTCTCCAATGTGCAAGAGGTGTCCTCTGCTTGTGAGTGCTGTCCTTGGGAGCCAGCCCCATGCCCAGCTGTGACAGCTCAAACTCAGATGAACATAGGGAGAGGAATTAATGTTTAGCTGGAGCTGTGATCTGAAATCGCTTGGAATGCTTCGCCTGGAGGCTGTGAGCATTCAAAGTTCCTATTTACATAGTGGCTTGTTGCCTAATCTTGATATATCGGTACATTAGGAAGTGCCAGAAATGCAGTGTTTAGGTTACAGCTTAAAAAAATCTCTCCAGTGCCAAGGCAGGGTAGATGGCTTCTCCCAGGAGGAAACAGAGGTGGGAAGAACTGCAGACATCTATTTATTTATCCTGCAATTTTGCTCCCTGGGTACACGCATACATGGCTGTCTCAGATAGATCCCAGCTCCCCTAAGCAAGTACTAGTGGGAAGCAGATGGAAAGTGCAAGTGCTGGAAGTTGAGCTCTGCTCAGGCTGAGCTCAGGAGATGGTGTTTCCCAGTCCAGGATCTTGTTTCAGCCCTTTGGGGACACAGAACTAAGGCTTTCCCCTGGGATACCTCCTTGGCTCTGGCAGGGAGGTAGCAGGGAGCCCTGCCTGGGTGTTACACCAAATGGGATGCCCCCAGGAGACGTCTCACCAACAGCCACAGGGTAACAGTGAGGGGAAGGCTGAGCTTTCTAAGGAAGGCTTTTCTTAAAATAAAATTTCCTGTCACTGGTTTTGGTGGGAGCATGAATCAGAAGTGCCTTTCCCCATGATGAGCTGCCGTACAGCAGTTTTGTCAACACCACTGATAAAAAAGATGGGTACAAATGTGAAAGCAAAAGATCTTCCCCAAAATATTTGCCCCACTGCCAGCGTTGGGCTCTTCTGAGGACCTGGCCAGGACTGGCATTCTGCTTTGGTGGGATTTGCTTCTTGCAAAAGGACAGGACTGGGCTGCTGCAGGGCAGATGTCAGCCAGGAGCCGTGTCCGAGCTGATGCTTTTGGAGTACTGACAGCAGAGCGTCGCTAACACCAACCAGACACAGCCTCACCCGCCATCACCTACCCCGGTATGACGTACGGTGAGTTGTATATCCCGGATTCTGTGTTGTGAGTGATGATGAAATGCTTCATCCATGGGGCCAGGACCTGAGAGATGAAGGGGAAGGTCAGGGAGAGACAGGGAGTGGAGTGCAGGCAGGTAGGCAAGTGGAGAACCTTCCTACCTGGTGAGGGTCTGGGTTTCCCCAAATAATCATCCCCTTCTCCCAAGGATCTTACGTCTTTTCATTATTAAAACTACGCCCCTGGTCTCCTCACACCTTCATCTGGCCATGAAACAGGCTGGATGCTCGGGGCACCCCCACAGCTGAACCAGGAACAGGACCCAGATTTTCTGCTCCAGCCCCCAAACACACGAGGGTTTTACACGACCAACATTTGCTGGGAATCAGGACCTGACCCCAGTGTGGGTCCAGCCCACGACTCGCCCCAGAGGCTGTATCTCACAAAGTGGCTAAAGAACGGCTCCTCTGGAAAAAAGGGGAGAGGGCACAAGCCCTGCACCCACCTCACCTTTATGATCTGTCCACGGCCGGGCTGGAGCTCCGGGTCAGGCTGCAGCTCCCCCGCACGTATTCCAGTGCAGTTTATTACGACATCCACACCCTGGGCAAACATCTAACCAGAGACAGACGCGATGCGGTGAGCACACAGCCATGCCGCCCACGGGGGGCCTGAGATTCCTGCATCCGAGCCAAGCCAAGTACTCGGTCCAATGGTCTGGTAAGGAATAAAACCATAAGGGCCGGATCGAGGGCATTGCTTCCCTGACGTGGCTCCTGCAGAGACTCCGTGTGTGCGGGCAAGGAGAACATTTGCATTTTAAGGGAAAGCTGTACCACCGCTACTTGGCTGTATTTTCGAACCACATGTGCCACCACCCTACCCCCTCTCAGCCACCTCTTGATGTCCAAGAGCCTTTATCTTTCCTGGTAGAATCCATTTCCTAGATCTCAGTGTATTCTTGCTGCTGTCCCCTGGCCCATCCCTCATGCCAAGCAGCACGTGCCCTGCTTCTCCACACCGGGACTGGGCTGTATCTGCTCTGCTTTGGCTTGATGTTGCCACTCACCTCCTGGAAAGATTCAACCTTCTTATGGAAAAACTTCACTCCTCTCTGCGTTAACCTGGGAAGAACAAGTCCATTTGTTAATGGCAAATTA